GAGAAGTTGTGAAAAATGGGAAGAATACAATGGCGTTCAGTGTGTATGTGCACGGTCAAGTGGAAACCACTCACGCTGTGATGGGGAGACTGGAATGGTTTGCGATGGCCAAGGGGAGCAATATCAGTCAATTTGTCACTTTTCACTCAGCATGTGTCAAGGACTCCTTTCCTACACAAAAGAAATGAAAACTTGCGGTAAGAGAGATAATAAGAAGAGGATGATGATGATGATGATAAAATAATAAATGGATATTCTTCTGAGATGAAACTTTTCAAGAATAATCGACTCAGAGGACGATGTAGATATTGATGAAATCGTCTGTTGTTGATAGTTTTGTTCCTTCTTTTTTTAAATTTAGCTTTACTGATAAAGATATATTTAAAAATCAAAACTACCTGAGTGTGAAAAATATTTTGATATCTTGATAATTTAATTGAATGCAATAAATTGCTTTATTTAATCTATCACGATTTTTCCACCAATTAGGACATTGTAAATGGTTGATGGTGACCTACAGTGAACCACAAGTCCCTTCTCAGGCTGTTTTGTATCGAAGAAATGGAGAAAGCAAAGGATACGACACGTACTACAATTCTCTTGAAGACAATTCAAAAATTTTTTACGAAAAGGAATTAAACGCTTGGGTTATAGGTATGTAAGTCAATATTTGATTTACTATGAATTTCGAAATACAATAACAGGTGTATTTCTTTTTTCTTTATGTTGTTTAATCTTGTAATATTTTATATTTATTGAATATCAAGCGTTTGATATGTTCAAAAGATGAAATTTTGCTTTCTTCTGTCGTCCTTGACATGCGACTAGTGTTCACAGAGGCTACTTTAATTTTTCTTCTTTCCCAGTTTTCTTCATTTATGTTTTCCCTTTTCATCATCTATTTCTCCCTTTGTGCATTTTTTAAACATATCCTCTTTTGCAGGCATTAAAAATGAGACTGGTTCCTTTGTGTCCTTGGTTCAAGAGGAAAAAGTGTTGTTTCCTCAAGATAATGCTGGCGGAATGTTGGTGGTAAACAAAACGGAAGGATCTACTGTGGACTTGCAAATCAATCCATATTTTCAGATAAAATGTCTGAAAGGTACATTACATTAATATTTACATATAACAACTATAGCCATGTGTTTATAGTGTACATATATCAAAAGAATAAAAGGGATTTTGTCATGTCAACTAAATATTTTTATGATAATAAATTAATGATTTACGTCTGATTTTATCGTTTAATATTTAAAGTGTTCAAGAAATCATTGCATTAAAATGTATTTTCATTTTTCAACTGAATATTTTTTTTATTTCTGTTTAGATTCAGATATTGGCAAAATAAGAAAACGTGAGAAGAGATTTATATTGTAAGTATATTAGAGGAAATTTACAATCTCCATTTTTGTAAGCACAATATTTACTTTGGAATTAGTATTAGTTACTGAAGTATTATCAAGTGCCTCGAATAAAATAGTTCAAGCATGTATAGTTAAAGCATATTTTATTTAGTCTAATCTTTCACTGGTGATTAATGATTATATTGGAAGAAGTTAGTTGGTAAAATGCATAACAATAATTGTTTTGAGAACGCTGGCAAGTCATTGCAAGGTGGGTAAGCAGTGAAGAAATATCTAAGTCTAAGCAATCGATAAAGATTTTAGTTGATGTCAGTCGAGAAAATCGAGTAAACTTGAAATTATTATCATTGATGCAATTGAAATATAAGAAACAAAAATACTTTATTTTACGTCAAAATGTACATGTACCAACAAGGACAAGAAAAACATTTTCTTTTGCTTTGTTTTACAGTACACTGATAGCAGTGATATCCGCGGTGGTGTCCGTAACAGCAGTGGCGACATCCACAACCTTAAAGATTATACAGGCAAAAAGGGGATGCTTATATTATCCTAGTGTGTGTAGATTAAGGTAATTATATTTATTCTTTCAGTAGAGTTTTCTACGTCAGACAGAGCTTGAATATCATTGGTTTTACGTCTTAACATTTTATGTTCAGACTGCAAAGTGGTCATGAAATACAGTTTTAATTATGTCATGTGCTTAAACATTGCTAGGTTGTAATTTATTATTTCTTTTTTTTTTAGATATTAAACAGATCTTTTTGCATTAGTTTGTAAATATTTTTGATATGATAACGGTTCAAATTTTTTAAATGACTTGAACAAAATCCATGAAAATAAAGAAAGTATGAAAATAACCAAAATATTTCAAAAATTGCAATTGCAGCTTACTAAATTATGCACGTTTCTTGTGTGATATTGATGCCACATGTAGTAATTTCTTTTTCTTATTTACAGGGATGAAATTAAAAATACTTTAAAACCAGAAGTAGAGACGTTGAAGAGAAGCTTCTTGATAAAATATGGGGACCCAGAAAAGATAAAAGGATATGTCGAAAAACACATAGACTTAATATCAGATATAAACGAGGCCGTAACCACAATCAAAGAATTGCATATAAAATCCAATTCTAGTCTTTCTGAGCTTACAACACGTTTAGGTTCTCTTACTATGGATGTTTCAGGTGTAGCCAATCTACTGTCCGAGTATAATGAATGGTTAAATGGTACAAAACTACAGGCGGTTTTTAGCATAATAGGGTTTGAAATAGAGTTAGTAATCACTGTAGCTACCTTACCCTCAATTATTAGTTCAGCGGCATCGGCATTAACTGCTGGAATCGCCATTTTTACTAGCGTTATAGCTATTGGATTTGCAATAGCTGATATAGTCTCTAGTGTGCAGGAGGAAAGACGCATAAAAAATAAATTGTTAAGCGCTAAATCAGAATATTTAAGGGCCCGAAGAAATCTAAAAACAGCACATTCTCGAATGATAAAGTTACAAAAACAATTTTGTGAAAAAGTTATCAATTATCTACGGCAATTTTCAAAAACTGGGAAAAAATACCATAAATTGTTTTCGGATTTATATGATAAAATAGTTTCTCTTTACGGTAAATGGGGGAATTGTGCAGATGAACGTATTTATTCTAAAACAAACATGTACGTCTTAAGTATGTTAGTAAATTATGTGAAACCACTTGTAAAATATCTATCTGACAATGTTAAACAACTTAAAGAGAAAATAAGAGAGGTAAAGATAATGACACAATTCCTAAAGGAAATTGCGGATAGTGTTAAAGTTAGAAAAAAGCAACCGTCAAGGATATTTGAAGAATTAGAAGTGTATGGAAGTTATACGTCAATTCCTAAACCAGTTTTTTCGAACTTATTTGATCTCTTAAGATACATAGCAAAAGATATTTTACCAAAAACTGATTGTTATTGGGGACATGATCTAAAGCTTATTAGATCGGGGAAAAGAAGACAATACAACTATTTGAATTCACCAGTTTGTCCCAGCTCTGAAATACAGGAAACGATAAAGATTATTGAATCAGGTGTCAAAAATATAACGAATCCATGTTTGATATATCGACACGTAAAAGGCAATATATTTCGAAGTAAATATTTAGTTCTACGATATATTGCAGAACATATAATTCCTACATCAAATTGTTACTGGGGATACAATCTACAAACCATTCGACTAAATCCAAACCCAATTGAACTTGAGATGGTAAAAATATCCTCAACGCTTTTTACAATGCTTAAAGTCTTTTCAATTGTTAAGATAACAGAAGCAACCGTCCAAAGAGCGAGGGCATATATGTGTTCGAAATCTTTGATTTGTGGTGAAAATTGGCAACCGTTTATTCTGTGTTCTGTATGGAAAGATTCTGTTGATCCTAATGTTTTGGATTGTAGAGGGAAGTCCAGTTCAGTGAATGATAAATACTGTGTTCCTCCGCAGGGCCGATTCCAAGAATGCAAATAAAACTCTCAAACTTGAATTGTAATGCAACCTAAGACTGTTTGTATTTTTTATTTGATAAGTAATATAAATAGCCTAAATGGCAAAATATTTTTATAAAGAAAATATTTTATATAACAAGCAAATTCTAATTTGTGTGCGTGAATGTATGTTTACAGGATTTTTATCATATTAACTTTGCTGTACCACCAGTAGTATAAGTTTGTTTTTTTTTTTTAAATTCAGGACTAATGAACATAAAGACATATACTTGTTGGTATAATTGCAAAATAGCTACACTTGCACGGTTAAATGATTGTGTTTAATTAGTATTATTATTACAGATATAGATGCTTTATTATTAAACTGTCATTTTGAATGAAATATGAATAAATAAAATTATAGATATGGAAGGGTTTTTTTTTTTCAGATTGTCTACAGTCTCTCAGAAAACAATAACATATATTCTTGATCTTTTCTTTAAAAATAATCTCAGATTGAATGTAGGTTGGAATTTCTTGTAGATTATAACATTGTTGATACATAACTTTAAATGATTTGATAACTTTTAAGTTAAATATGTGTTCTTTCTTGTGCAATAAATAATGATTAAATAGGACATCTCTCTCTCCTAAAGAATGAAGAGATTATGAGAACATAATATGCATACTAGGGAAAAGAACAGAAAGATTATTTTTTGCAAATTTTAAGGTTGTGAACAAAAAATTCCAAAATTTTAAAATTAATTCAATTTATTTATTGCTTAGGATAAACATCTTATGGCATATTACAACCTTGCAATTATAGAAAATAAACGCTTACACAAAGTTATGAACCTTTTAAGTTCATCTTGGGACGAGACTTGCAATGTTTAACTTTAGGAGAAATTCAGATATATACCTTAGGTAAGGGTAGATTCGATTACCTTACTTATAGGACTTACATATCTCTGAAAACATGTCTGCAGGTGTATATATTAGAATGATCCCATACAGTCTACTATATTTTTGAGATTGAGGTTTTGAGATATATTCACCTAGTCCTAATCTCAGTTGAGATAATAGAGCGCCATTCGTTGTATGTGTTGACTATAAAAGTCGCTTGATGCAACATGTGCTCGAGAATTCTAAAATTTGATAAAAGAAATTGTATCGTGGATGAAAGCTGTATTGTATCTTGCAAGGCAGAAAGGTATTGCACGTACAATAACTTCCAAAATTACCTGTTATGACACATATACACATTAAGTTACAGTTATTGAACAATTATTTTGGGTATCTCGAGATATTCTGATGGGAGATGACGAGTTCGCGCTAGCGAACGAGTTCACACCCATCAGAATATTACGTTATTCGGATAACCAAAATAGTTGTTCAATTAGGAACTTGTATGATGTTCAAATGTTCATCATTCGGTCACATTTCTTTTTCATTTAATTCCACCAAGACACACCTTTTCGCCCCATTATCATTTTACTTGCGCAATGCGGAGTGACAGGATGGATGTTTACTACCAAGAAAGCGCACTGCTGGACCTATTTGCCATTTTACAGTCGCTGTGAAAAAATTAAGTTTCTCATTTATATGGATTTTCCGCCAGAAAACATAGATTTCAATATGATATAAGTAATTTTCACTTGAATTTTCGGAAATTGGAAACAGTCGGACAACGAACTAAGGCAAATAGCAGTACTATAAACGGCATATCAGAAACTGATGTAAACGATCTTATAGAATTGCAAGAAGACTGCGAGTCTGCGACTATACTTAGTTGATCTAAATACTGCCCGGGTGTTCTATGTAACCATTACTTATGTCCGATATTAATATTTCATAGTTAATTTGGTATGAAAATTTACATTACAAGTCGCATACCCCCCCCCCCCACACACACACACACACTCGAAATATGCCTTTATTTATACAGATTTAGTAGTTTTTGTTTTTCCTGTTTTTGCGTGTGATATTTTCATAGATACTTCTATGCTTCCGAACTCTTTTCTGGACACCCCCCCCCCCAAGTACTTATGATGTTTATAAAATCAGCTTTTTAATTTCAAACAATTTAAAGTGACAAGCTATATACAGCTTTTGGATTTAATTTTCTATCTGCAGTAAGCAGTAAGTTTGCAGGATTCAACACAATTTTTGACACGTTTTTGTTTTCTTGTTTTCTTTGCTAGCGTAAATAGTACATAATAGATAATTTTGGAAGTTATTGTACGTGCAATAAGTTCCTGACTTACATGATACCGCATAGCCTAAGCTCCGCCTCCGTAATGATATCAAGATTTAAAGCACAGCAAATTTCAAAGGAAAATCATCGCACCCATGACACAAAAAGAAAGAAAAAAGGAAAACGTTTCAAACATTTTGTTAAATCATTTTTCATGCAAACTTTGTGAATCTAAACTGCTAACCAATAATAATTTAATTGAACGATCAAAGTGATAAAACAGAGAGAGAAAGAAACATAACCCTTATAGCCATTTTTACACCACGTGTATATACAGAAAATCGAAAATTAGATCCAAAAGCTTCCATTTGTAACTTAAAATTGTATGAAATTTTGTAGTTGTTAAAAAATAGGTCGATTTGATTTTTAAAAAATTATAAACATCATACCGAGCGTAGTGGGGATGGGGTGGGGTAGCTAGAAAATAATTGAGAAGCACAATTAAGAGGTGTCTATGAAAATATGACCTGCACAAAAAAGAAGAAAAAAAACAAAACTACCAAAACTAGAAGAAAAAAAAACTTATCTCGTATGTTTGTGGGTGGGTGGGTGGAAAGGGATACTTTTAATGTAAATTTCCATACCAAATTAAAAGTGAAATACTAATATCGGACAAAAGTAAAAGGCAGCCCCCCTCCCTAGTACTATCTGGTATAATTGATCAAATTTCCCTAGTTAATATTAAAAAAAAAAGCTGTACATAGAATGCTCGGGCCATATTAAACATCAACTTAGTTTCAATTCTATATAAAATCGTTTACTTCAGTTTCTGATATCGTACTATAACAAAACGATTACTTGCCTTAGTAGATTCATTTACTGACGGTTTCCAATCCAGAAAATTCAAGTTGAAATTACTTATATCTACATGTTCCTAAAAACTGAAATCCATGTTTTCTGGTAGCAATTCCGTATCAATAAGAAATTTCTTCTTTTCTTCCGCAGGGACTGTAAAATGTCAAATAGGTCCAGCAGTGTGCTCTCTCGCTAATAAACATTCATCTTCTCACTCTGCGTTGCGCAAATAAAATGATAATGGGGCGAAAAAAAGTTTGCCAAATTGGGTGCAATTAAATCAAAAGGTCGTGTGACCGAATGATTGACATTTAAACGATAAAGTTCCTTATTGAACAACTATTTTGGGTATCACGTGATATTCTGATCAGTGTAAGCTTGTTCGCTAGCGCAAACTCGTCACTACCCATCAGTATATCTCTTGATAATACCCAAAATAATTGTTCAATAAGTGTAACTAACAGGTTTTTTGGAAAGGGGGGGGGGCTTTCAGGGTTATGTATACATTGAAGAATATTGTTCAGTAATTATGCGAGGTGTCGCCTGCTCCAGTGTATACCTACATATCCCCAACCTAAAAAATTATAGAGAGAGAGAGAGAGTGGTCACTCATAATCGTGTGGATTTCTTTACACAATTTTACGATGATTGTCCACTTTCGTACTAAGGAGGAAATGATCTCAGATTTAGTATCCGTGTTGAATTACTAAGATTAACGAGTAATGCATTACAGTACCCTTCATCGTTGTTGTGTCTTCGGGAGATAATAAATCGATTAAAATGTATGTTTGGCTACTAGTGGTCACCTTTCTGCATTGGTGTGGATTTTGTAAAACTCAAGGTAATAATTTGGAAGAACATCCATAATACTTATGTAATCATTGCATCACCAGAAGTGTATTACGTGTATCTAGGTATAATCATTTTCTTTAAAAACAAAGACTATCCCCATGGATTATACATTGGTGAAAGTGTGGGAAAGGCAATTAATTTTTTTAAGAGTAAAATGAAAGTAAATGACGAGGAACTCATTTAGAAGTCGCAACCAAATACAGTATATTCAGCATATGTTCAAGAATGCTGTTTTTCGCACGTTAAATAACAGAAGTTCAAAGGTCCTCTTCCTCAATTGCCAGCCTATCTCAGCAAGCCGATGATATACATGTATATGTATGCATATTCAGAAAAAGAGTTGGGGTATTTGTTTTAATCTTAATATTCATATTTCCCTCAAGAAAACTGAATTTGATAACATGGACCATTTTTATATTCAATTGTGATGATCTTTTGTGAGAGCCTGCAGAGTCTTTCTCTGCGAAGTCTTTCTCTGTCATTCACGAATCTAGAGGGTATCGGGGGGGGGGGGGTCCAAACCCGATCCCTCCTAACTCTGAGATTTTCAGTTATTAAGTTTAAACAGTAAAGTAACCAAAATGACCTTGAACCCACCCACCCCTACATTCTTACACTCCTACATGGACACCTAAGGAAAGTCATATATGAAGGAAAACGACCTGTCTTAACTCCCCCCCCCCTCCCCCCGCATAAGCTTTTCGGATTTGGACACGTTGTCCACGTTTTCTTTTTTCTAAAAAAAATTTTAGCAAAGATTCTGAGTGCGTATATGGACCAATGGGCCCAAGGGAATTCCCTCTCTAAGAAGTTTCAAGGGGATACCCACTCTAAGAAGGTTCTTTGAATTCCCTTTCCCACCTCTTCCTATAACTACTATAAGAGATTGTTTCCTCCAGGGCAAAATTGTCCAGTTACTGGAAATGAGTTCCATCCATTTCTTCTGTATATAGTAGGGGTGTCAACGAGTACCCGGTTAAGGGTACTCGATCGAACGTCCGAGTATCAAATACTAAATGAAACTCGGTTACTCGGATGTGTATATTTTCTTATTTCAAGGTACATATTTTCATCAAAAACTTATCAAAAAATAAATATGCATACGGGTAATTAGCGTGTCATCATCTTTCCATGTAAACACCCGTTATCGCCTATGGCTGTGTATACGAAGTAATTAGTGACCAATCACCTGGTACACAGCTGTTCTCACCTGTTGTGGTCCTTAATTTTTTTATGGCTTCATTGATTGTTTTTCAGTGAACATCGATTAATATGGTCTATTATCTTCCATTCATTCTTAAATTATTTAGTTAATATACGGCAGTGAAATCGGACGGTTTATTCCCCGAACGTCTACTGGCTAAAACAACTATTTAATTATCACACTCAACTAAGAGGCCCTCTAAGGGGTCCAGGTAGAGTTTACCGGTTGAGGGGTTATTCCCCTAACGTCTACTGACTAAAACAACTATTTAATTATCACACTCAATTAAGAGGCCCTCTAAGGGGTCCAGGTAGAGTTTACCTGTGTTACCTTGATTGAACAAAGTAGTCAAAATCAAATAATTTAATATTTACTGATAAAACTGTGTACTAAAGCATAGATTTATTGATTAAATACTTGCTATAATTGAAGGCACTAAACAATTAAATATTTTTTCATGTACATGTAATAAATAATTTATTATAAATTATTTTCAATTAAGCATAACTTTTTTTAACCTAACACTTGGCACTTAATTGAAGCATCACTTACACCACATTTTAACATTTTAAGCTTTGTTTAATCTATACTAAACATGGAGAACTTTTTTCACATCGCATTTACAGGTCCATAGAACGAAAAGGGGGGAGGGGGCATTTTTCTGAGCAAAGACTTTTCCTGTAGTATAGTCTATTCCTCTAGATCTAATTATATGTAAATTTTCATTTAGATGTTGCCCCCTCTTACACTCTGTTGCTGTAAGGTCGAGCGTTGGCGAATATTCCAGCACTTGAAAAAAAATCTACAAACAGAGAAAGTCCACCCCTTCCCACACACGAACACACAAAATAGGATTTTCAAGGTTTTTTTTTTAATTATTTAAATTTTACTTGTTAGATTTCTCTGGGGGGTTGCTCTTCTCCCACTGTTTAAACCATTGCTACCTCTTTGTTTGGAATCAATATCTAAAGTTGGGGGGGGGGGATTCAAAATGATTTTTTTTTTCAAATATAATCGTATCTTACTCTTCTTGATAAATTTTTTACCAAAATAAATTACATGTATATTGTGATTGAGTTTTATGACACAAACTTATAAAGATTTTGAAATTATTTATTGTTATAATATTTAAAATTAATACTTTGAAATGAAGATCAAAACTAAATTAAATCAAAAGTATCTAAAGCAAGATTTTTACATTTTTCCTGAAAAAAAAAATCATGTTAAAACAATAAATATCTTTTATCAATATTTCCATGCTGAAACCATGTTTCAGAAGAGATGCCAAACATTATTGTTGCTGTAGAATTCCTCCTTCAATAAATACAGGTAAAGCTAGTTCGTAAATGATTGTAGATCCTACCTGTACCCCTCAGAGGGCCCCTCAATTGAGTGTGATAATTAGATGTTGGTTTAGTCCAGTAGACGTTCGGGGAACACACCAATCGGACGTGCACAGAAATGCCGCTACCCACTTCAAAATTAGACTAGCAATCCAAACAACGTCCGTTCCTTCTCTTTCGCCACTCTAATCATCACAAACCTGCGTAACAGATTGTCCTCCTTTTACGTTGATGAAATAGATCTTAAACAATAACTGTAAACCATTTGTAATTTTTTATGTATTTATTGCATCATTTGTGTATATTTAATAAATAAATTTAGTACTGGACTTCATGTTTACAAGTATATACATTCATAAAACGTGACAAAACAGCTTTGGAGTTTAACAAATTAACAATTAAAAATTTACAAACTTGTATTTTCATTTTTACCGAGTACCCGGGTACTCGATCGAAAAAACGTCCGAGTAACCGATTATCAAAAATTGACCGATTTGACATCCCTAGTATATAGATTAGAAAGATGGGTAAATTCACTGCTGAAAGAATTAACCATGATTTTAATTCAAAATATGTTTTTTATATAGAAGTTACAGCCTCCTTGAACAATAACCTTTTGACATGGGAGGAAGCAAAATCCAACTGCACCCTCCTTGGACCCAGTGTCCGTGGGTTTTTACAAACAGCCAAAATTTCGTCAAAAGAGATCCAAACCAAGGCCTGGATAGGAGCCTACAGAGGCCACACCCAGTGGCTGAATGTCAGAGGTATATAACCAAAATATGCTTAATATAATTTTTTTTTAAATTGTTTCGGGAATATAACAGTTGTAAACGATGTTTAACCCGCTCATAACTTTGTTAACCGTCTTATTGTGGCATTTTCCCAAACTAGTTATTTCCTCCTGGAATCCTAGCTCATACATGTAGTAGAACCTCTTCCAGAAGCCCGTCTATTTGGAAGGAACACCCCCCCCCCCCCCGAGACATTTCTTTTTTCACCAATATAAAGTGAACTTCTCCCAGGGATATCTTATTGTTAACAGGCATGAACGAATATAAAGAATCCTGGATAAGATTGCAGATTATGGTATTTTGTACTTTTTATTATTATTTTTATTTATTTATTTATTTATTTTTTACAATTCAAAGCTTATTAATTGCTATGATCCTGTCTCTAATGTAGGTTCAGTTCCTAGAGAAAGTCTATATTTAGAAAATGTATGAAAGCACAATGTGAAAGGAAATAAAATGATGGATCACATGGATTCTTGTAAAGTTTAGGTTTCGCTCTGGTGTACAAATTATATGAAGAAAAAAGTCTAGCGAAGAGTAAATTTTTTTTTTTAATCTCATTGCATTCTGGTCCCATTTTTTTTATCTATCGAGTTAACTATATACATCATTCATTCATATTGTGAATTTCAGAAAAACAATATATTATTCAGGATTTATGTATATCGGAAAGTTAGGTAAAAGAAAAAGCCTATGTGTCATTATTTTTAAATTTCAAAATTTGGGTTTAACCTATATTCACAGGAAATTTTGAATGAGTATTATGGAAAAAGAGCTACATGCACTTTTACATTACGTTGTGGAGGTATTACCACATGTATTTTCATTTTGCGTAAAATATTATATCACAAAATGTAATATTTGTTAATACACTATACACTATAAACTTGTATTTAGCATATTAAATTTTAACCCGAAAAATCTGACGTTTTCCAGGCGTTTTTCACGATTTTAATATTTTACGTGCAAGGAAAACTCAAAATCGTGAAGCCTGGAAAACGTCAGATATTTCGGACTAATTAAACTTATGGCAAATCTTGCAGATCTTGTTTTTAATTGTTGTTGCAGGTTGCTACACGGTATACACAGCACAACTGCCATTTGCAACCAGAATTCTACTACAAAGAAATGATACCGTGGGGAAATGTGTGGAAAGCTGTCCCGCCACTACCATCTACGGGTTGTCGGTGCTCGCTCTATTGTTACTCAATTCGATTTTATTATGTTTAAAAAAAAATTTCTTATCCTTTACATCCACCCTTTAAAACATTTCTATAGAAAAAAATATTCTTTGATTTGACAATGTTTTAGCAACTTTTTAAAAAAGAAAATCATAAGCAACTTTTTTTTTTATTTTTGTAGGAAAATTACTGTTTCTGCATCTACTCCATGCCATCGTTTGTAACCAAATGCACAGCTCGCTTATGTAATGGATCAAAAACCGATTTCTGTGGCGGAACTTTGACATTTGGAAATCTAGCAACCACAGATATTATGTTTTACACAACAAGTAAGAAATCAATCAGTCAAAGAGATTAAAGTATGGATGTCATGTACATGTATGTGTGTTACATTCTATACGTTGAGGGAAATATATGATGATTTTACACAATTAAAAACATTTCCGTCTAGGACAAAATAGGTGGGAATCAATTTATTCCAAGGGGCGTAAATCTTTTCATACCTATAACAAATCTTTGATTGTAGAAGTACTCTTTTCCGCGTGGTATTAATTTACGTTATGTACTCGTTAACAGCGAACTGTACATTCAGAGCATATGGAAGTAATCTAAGAAATCCGCTTAAATGTCTACCCGCAGATTGAACAGAAATTGTGATACCGCGGAATTTTGACCCATAAAGATAAGAAGCAGTAATCAAGTTCAAAAACCAATTGAAACAATACTAATTGTGAGCAGAGCAAACGCGGGCCTCTAAAAAATCAGAGATGGGATCAGTGCCATGGAGGAGTAAGCATCCCCTGTCGACCAGTCACACCCGCCGAGTGCTTCTCGTCATGATCGGGTGAACGGAAGAATCCGTAGCCATGCAATTTTGAGTAAAAATAACGACCCATTAATTTGTATGAAAAACGTTTGTCAACATTCCACCCAACGATAGATTGTACGTGAACGGTAGACTGAACGTACAAGTACAAATGTGTTTCGGAAGCTTTAACAGCATGGAAGTGCATGTAAATACGTGACGAACAAATGCAAATACGTTTTTTTTTCTGCTAACAAGGTCATTGTATCGCCAACAGAACTTGCGAAATGTTGACTTTAAACAAGACTGCTGATGTCCTTGTATCATCATCTTATTTGTCAATAGCTTGCCTTGTTTTAAAAATTGTTCGTACGTAGAAGATGCCCTAGCGTATCAAATCAACTGGGAGACATAAACTCCATATGCAGGTGATAATTGTATATTGCTACATAAATAAGGGAAGTTGACGATAGAAAAGTTGAAGTCATCACGTTTATCATAAAGTTTAGTTGCTAGTTTACCATCATTGTCTTTTTTTAGTAAAATATCCAAATATGAAACAGATATATCAAAGTCTGTAATGTCCTTTTATTCGAGTTCAGAGGGATATATCGAATCAACGTAGCAACAAAGAAGAATATTGCTAATTTATTAAATGTCGATACATATCTAAACGTCAAATTGAAGGCCACAACAAGAGACTTTTCCTCTTCATGTAGAAGTTTCTGAATAAATTTTGCTTCATATGAATACAAAAACAGGTCAGTCTGCTTGTAATTGGGCACGATTATTACCCATGGAAATTCCAACAGATTGTTGGAGGACCTGGACTTACAAAACAACTTAGATAATGTCAATGAGAAACTCAAGCATATTTTTGATTTGCACTTCGGAGTACTTGTGTGTAAATTAGACTCAGAATGTTTTTAACAAAATAAGTGTGTAGATAACCAATTACAAGATATTTAAATTTACGAGTTCCATTTTTATTGAAAAAGCAGTTGTCTATATGGTGTAAAAAAGCTTCGTCTTTAATTTATCGTGGGCAATACCGGTAGTTATGTAAGGTGTTCAAAAATCGTACTTTCTGATGCTATTGATTTTAGTAAAAAAAAAAATATTTTTCTAAACGATCATTGGCGTTTTTAAGTTTCATTTCTAGAATATGTACTCCTGAAATTTCTCCTTCATTGTTAATATTTTTGTGAGGAGTAATGAAAGAGGCTGGGTAGAACATTTAATATTTTTGTGAGAAGTAATGAAAGAGGCTGGGTAGAACATTTACTAGAATCCGTTTGTAAGGATTTTTATATACATGTAGTTCGGGAATCCAATACAGTTATGATAATTCAAGGAAATGAATTTATCCTGAACATTCTTGCTATAGATAAGTTTTAATCTTACTTCCTTGACCCCAATTTTGAAAAAAATTACAAAATATATGCCAATTTTTTCTATTAAATGTTCAAATATTTTGAAATTTCATTCTTAACTCGAGATAAAATTTCCGAATATAAATCAAAGAGTAAGTCGAAGTAGATACCAGATGCACCATTAAGTGATGAAGGAGAAATTCTTATTTCAAAAATAATTTCATTTTATTGTAATACTTTATTTTCAAATCAGGCCAAAATTGGTCATTTTTTATTGTCTACGGATGTTGATCATCTTTTATTGTCTAAGGATTTTTCCGTTTTCCCGATCATGACAAGAGCACACGGCGGGTGTGACCGGTCGGCAGGAGATGCTTACTCCTCCATGGCACCAGATCCCAAATCTGATATTTTTAGAGGTCCGTGTTTGCTCTGCTTCTGATTTGTATTTTTACTATGGACCTTTGAGCTTGATGACTGTTCGTAATTTCAATATTTGATTCATGTAATTTTAATGATTTTTTTCAGACACCCAGCTGCAGTCCTTTGTGCCTGGGGAATTGCAATGCATTCAGGGTCAACAGAGCCGTGATGGTGAGGAGGATGAGTTGACGACATCATATACCTACCAAACGACGCGCTGTGACCAGCTAGTGGCTAGCTATGTCTGTCACACAGGATCATGTATAATAAAATCAAAATTTCCTAACATTTCACCACCAACTGCTATTGTATGTGTTTTTCTAATGTGCGCGTCTTAGTTTTTGAATGATGTTTATGTGACAAAAAATCTTTTGGTGGCAATTCTTGACCTTTGACCCTGGAAACCAAAACATTGAATATGACACTTATCTAGAAGAAATCAGGCTTTATTTTTGTTCCAACAGTAATAAAAAAAAAATGGTTAAATTTGCAGGCGGACAGACTAAACAGTCTCGCTGGACAGTACTTACGTCTTTCTAGGCTTAGTTATAGACTGACATTATTTTGGCCAAGGTTGAAATTTCTATGAAAATGTGAAGAAGATAAACTTTATACAAGTATCATATCTGAATAATAATCCAAAGACCCTGGAATTTTTAACATACTTTGTAGGATAGAAGGACTAGGATACTTTTGAGGAGAGAGGGGGGATATGAAGGATTGCGTGTTTATTTTTTTTTATTTTACAGTTGATGTTATTTACACGTCGACAGTTCGGATGAATTGGACAGGGGCAGTGTTGGAGTGTAGCAAGCTTAATTACAGAATCGCTGATACGTACACCTTTGGAGGTGTTCTTCATCCCTCGCGCCTCATTCTCTTCTGGGTTGGAATTTTTCGCAGAGAATTCACAAAAATTGACACGGGTAGGTACTCTATCTATACAATAATAATATCAACAGATACAGATTCATTATCCATTATTTAATATTTTACATACACAGTAATTCAGATCTGAAAGCATGTACAAGCTCATACACAGGCAAGTGACGTCAGACATGTATTTCGTTGACTTTCATTGCTAAATGTTTGAGCCAATGTTGGCAGAGAAATAACTCTGATAGTTTGTAATTCTCAATTTCCACTTTCTTTCCCCTATCCTCTAATAAGCTCTGGTTATGCACTGCTCTACCAGTATATTGCCGTTATTTGGAATTTCCTTATTAATACAATACGCTCTACAAATACCATGATATGCATTAAATAACAAGTACATGTAACTCTATTACTTGTATTGCTCTACCTATGTACAATTTCTAAAACGAGGTAGATTATTGACAAATAAGTTGATGAAACAAGAATATCAGCTGTCTCGTTTAAAGTCATCATTTCGTAAGTTCTATGGTCGATACAATGACCTTGTCAGCAAATACAATTTATCATTGAGTCAAATGCTGACTGACGTTTTCCATACTAATTGTTAGGCCATTATTTACACACTGAATTGTCGGCGGATTTTTCCGTTATTTCCCGATCATGGCAAGGAGCACACGGCGGGTGTGACCGGTCGGCAGGGGATGCTCACTCCTCCATGGCACCTGATCCCACCTCTGATGTTTGGAGGTCCGTGTTTGCTCTGCTCCTATTTTGTATTGTTTAATGGACTTTTGAGCTTGAATACTGTTCGTTATCTCCATATATTTCATTGTAGTTATCCCTAACAATCCACAAATTTCTACTTTGTGTACGGCCGTCACTGTTAATGAAGATGGGACTATGCAACTGTACAACGAAAACTGTAGTGCGCGATTGCCATCCTGGTGCGAAGTCCAACAGACAACCACACAGACAACCAAAACGACTACTTCAAAAGAAACGAGAATAATTACAAGACCTCTACCACCCGAAGGTAAATCACCATAAACCATCACAAATATCGAATGGTATTTTTTTTTCATGTGGATTGCAATATGTATCCAGCAAGTCAAATGAGTTTTTTTTTTGTGTTGTCTCCAATGTTGCCCAAATGTTTGCATTATTAAAATGCTGCTTTCTAGGGTTCTTTAATCTATAATATTCATCTTTAATACATATATTCTTAAAGAAGAAAACCTCGTTTTTTTGTCTTCCACAGGAGGAAATCACATTGTCTCCATTTATTTACCTCTGGGGATGTTTGCTCTTGTTGTTCTGGTAGTTGCAATCACAATCTTTATGCTGAGGTAAAAAGTCTAATATTTTTTCCTGAAGATTGCTTATATCAATATTACTTTGAAGTAGATATAACTAAATGCTGACTTTTTACTACTAGGAAAAGAATAGCTACGGAAGCCCGCAAGGCTTGGATTGAAACGAAGAATTACAGAACGCAGAAAGACAGTCTCACAGATTATACTGATAGGAATCAAAATGCTAAAGCAACCTATGATCCCGTGACAAGAGAAAGTCCCATACGGCCGGATTCTGAACATAAATATGACTATGCCAAATTCAAACAAGCCAACTCTAAAAAGTCACACTATACATCTATACATATAGGGACCTCTAGTCAAAGGACAGACTCCACTTACGATCACGTGACTAGAGAGAATCCATACCCAAACAGTAGTATCTATGACAGATCGCATATCACACAATCTGACGTCACTGGTGCAGCAGACGACACAGACACGGCATATGATCATTTGACCAGACAGAATCAGAAACCAGATCTGACCAGCAGTGTTTATGACCGATCAGACTATAAGCAAAACATCACTCATTCTGATGACGTCACTGGAGATGCAGAGGACACAGCATACGACCACATAGATAGACGCTCAAGGAAAACAAAGGAGACACATGATACGTATGACCACATGGAGAAAAAATGAATGATTAAAAATATTAGTTTATTTGGGCAGCTCAGATTAGTCTAGCAATCCACCAAATGTTGTCATGAACAATTTATTTTATCATATCATATGCTACATGTAAATACCATTCTTGCTGTAAAATATATTCATAAAGTTAATCAATTTTTTCAATCCTGTATCTTCAAATCATGAAAGAAAAAAAATAAATTCATTTTTTATCATTTATTGTTTTATGTAATAACAATAATATACAAATCAACAATTATGCTTTGCAAAATAATCTTCTGCAACATTTTCTGAAGGGAAGCAATACCCATTCTTCTTCACGTGATTGCAATGAGTCTGGCAGTTATATTACTTTTTTTCTATTAAACACTAAACCCTTGCTGAAAAGTACACATATGTTTGGGGAAAAACAGTATGTTTACTCATTTCACGGAGGGGGGTTATAACCCCTTATGATCTCTAGTACACTAATTCACGATCAACATAAAAAATGATAACACATCCCCAATATTTGATGAACATAAACACAGACAAGGCTTATTCAATTATGATCATTCATGTACTAATTACTCTGCAAAACCTAAAATGCATTTAAATTTAACTTCACTATAAAATAAATTTGCATAAAACATTTTTTTTACAAAATGTTTGAAAGCAGATAAATGAAATATTAAAAGTAATCTTTTCCCCTAAGCTTGCAGGTTTTCCTTCTCTTGCTTTAAGTATTACCAATATTTAGTAAAGCATACGCTGCAAAATTACATCCATAAATACTTCTGAATACTGAAAGGAGGACAGGCTTTGAATACATACAATGTACATGTATGTATTATCTGATGTGAACACAACTCTTTTTTTTTTTTTTTTTGCTGTTGAAAACTTGGCATGTTGATAACTGATCCACATTTAAACCAAGAATACATTTCATTCACATTACATTTAAAATCACAATAATAGTACAGGTATATGTAATATAAATGCAAAATCACCCAATACCTATTTTACGACATTAGCCCAAATACTTCATGATGCACATTACATATATAAGTATCTAGGCAACCTAAGATGTTCATTTCTGTAGGTTCCATTTCACTATAGGGAGACAAAATAAAAATTATGGAAAAATAAAAAAATAATTACTAGCATATAAATATGTATTGCATATAATTATGGCTTTGGAAATAATAACAAGCAAAACAACTTGGCTTTGTGATTACTACACTCAAAATGGCAGGGATAGCATACATGATCCAACAGACCACATACCATGCATTCTAGTAATAGAAATCTAAGAGATATGCTGGAATGTATTTAGGGATGACACGAATAGATGTTTAAATGTTGTCAAGAAAAGATTTTTGAATGGTTGTCATGGAAACACCTTCTAGCTTTAAATGGTTCATGACTATCACCATTTCTGCAGCACTTTTTAATCCTATGGAATTTTCATACTGATACAAGGCTGATGTCTTGAGTATTGGGCCATTGTAGTTTGAAATCTTCACAAAGACACTGTGATCAGTTTCCTGTTGAGGAATACCTTTGCAGCAGTAAGGTATGACAGTTATCACAAACACGCACAGGCTTAGCTGAGGAAGGCAGGGGCATCTTATTGTCTGAACACTCATTACAAAATATCTCTCCACAATTTCGACAATGGTGCTGCAATTTTGAGACAAAATTCCATTCATTCATGTAAAATCAAAACCTATTGAATACCCGCAATTTTCTGCCTCAGTTTATTTTTGCTTCAGTAAAATGATTTATTGTAAAAGAGTTTAAAATGCAATAAAATTTTTAAAAACCTAGACTTTCATCCAAATGAGTATTATTTTTTCATTTGATTTACAAACAGGAAGTTATATGTACTTCAGAAATGCCCCTTGTACTGGCAAAAGTACAGATACTGATCTCGGGATAGGAAATTCTATGACACTTTACCCGTCTCCGGGAGATGGAGAACTCTTTAGTACAGCCTTTACAGTTTGTAGCCTCTTTATCACTGATCCATTGGGCTTCCTTCACCGCCTGCTGAGCTTCCCTCATGTCCTCCATCCGTAACTTTGACCTGGATTTAATAATGATGGATCTATCAATGGCTATAAAATGGCACAAGCATTTACTGACCCACTGAAATCTTTGAGGCAATGACATTTATTCTTCATTTAAAAAAATGAAAAGAATGTGGGGCCTTGCATATAAACTTACTACAGTTATGATCAAATATGAAAAAGACAATCTCCACATTTCAACAACCTTGATTTAAACACCAACTTGCAAAGTTTTTGATTGAATTACAGAAACACTTTTTTCTTAGACAGCTGTGTTGCTTACGCGCTTAGATGAGATCCCAGTTCAGCTAGTGTTCTCTCTTGTTCTTCACAAGTTTTCTGCATCTCCTTATGCCGACGCTCTAAAGCAGCATATTCCTTCAAATTTATAAAAACTGCATTTACATGTATATTGACAAGTTTTTATTTGTTGAATATTTGCCATAAAAGTACATTGATCAATTCAAAATTAATTTGTTTTAGATGTATATAGTTAAAAGTATATTGGAGAATTGACAGATTTTTCCATAAATAGTGATACTGTTTACATATGAATTAACACCAAATCTATTTATAATTTCAAAGTCTGTTAAAACCCTGGACTTTTACATTTATATACATGTACATTTAACTCTCTTACCTACCTATTTGTTGTTTTTCTATAGATCTGCATCAATGAAAATATTACCTGTTTACTTTATAAGTCTGTCTTCTTAAAACTTCTAAAAACCTTATCTTACTGTTTCCATGTTATCTGTATGTTATTGATATATTTCTATGCATCTGCCTGTATTGCTGTAAATCTGACCTTTTATAAGTTTTATTTTTGTGAGTCTATTTTTCTCTGCCTGTATTGTTGTAAATCTGTTCATATCATTTCTTTTAGGTTTGGTTGTATTTCTGTAAATCTTATCTATCTAGGTGTTAACATTTCTACTGCTATTAATTTTACTTTATCTGTTTATATTTCTTTTAGGGGTGTTTGTATTGCTGTAAAACTGATCTATCTGTTAGAATTTTTTCAAAGTGCCTCTATTTCTGTGGGTCCATTTGTATTGTTGTAAATCTTTTCTTTTCTTAATGCATATATTTCTGTGTGTCTGTTTGTACTGCTGTAAATCTTACCTAATATTGTTTACCGGTATATTTCTGTCTGTCTTTATTGCTGTAAACCTTACCTAACTTTATATTTCTGTAGATCTGTCTGTACTGCTGTAAATCTTAACTTATCTGTTTATATTTCTGTAGAGTGTAGATCTGTCTTTATTACTGTGTAAATCTTACCTTGTTTAACTGTTTATTACTGTAGGTCAGTTTGCATTGCTGTAAATCTGACCTTTTCTGTTTATATTTCTGTAGGTCAGTTTGTATTGCTGTAAATCTTACTTATCTGTTTATATTTCTGTAGACCTGTATTTATTACTGTTAATCTTAGCTTACTCAACTGTTTATATATTGTTTTGCTGTAAATCTTACCTTATCTGTTTATATTTCTGTAGATCTGTTTGTATAGCTGTAAATCTAATCTTATCTAAATGTTTATATTTCTGTAGGTCTGTTTATACTGCTGTAAATCTTACCTTATCTAACTGTTTTATTTCTGTAGGTCTGTCTGTACTGCTGTAAATATTACCTTATCTAACTGTTTATATTTCTGTAGCTGTAAATTTTACCTTATCTAACTGTTTATATTTCTGTAGGTCAGTTTGTATTGCTGTAAATCTTACCTTATCTAACTGTTTATATTTCTGTATGTCAGTTTGTATTGCTGTAAATCTTACCTTATCTAACTGTTTATATTTCTGTATGTCTGTTTGTATTGCTGTAAATCTTACCTTATCTAACTGTTTATATTTCTGTAGATATGTTTGTATTACTGTAAATCTTACCTGATCTGTTTATATTTCTGTAGGTTTGTTTGTATTGCTGTAAAGCTTACCTTATCTAACTGTTTATATTTCTGTAGGTCAGTTTGTATTGCTGTAAATCTTACCTTATCTAACTGTTAATATTTCTGTATGTCAGTTTGTATTGCTGTAAATCTTACCTTATCTAACTGTTTATATTTCTGTAGATATGTTTGTATTACTGTAAATCTTACCTGATCTGTTTATATTTCTGTAGGTTTGTTTGTATTGCTGTAAAGCTTACCTTATCTAACTGTTTATATTTCTGTAGGTCTGTCTGTATTGCTGTAAATCTTACCTTATCTAACTGTTTATATTTCTGTAGCTGTAAATCTTACCTTATCTAATTGTTCATATTTCTGTAGCTGTATATCTTACCTTATCTAACTGTTTATATTTCTGTAGGTCTGTTTGTATTGCTGCCACTTTCTCCTTTTCATCCTCTAGAGACCTTTGTAATGTCCCTCTCCACTCCCTTTCTATTTTAAGATCTGTCTCAAGTGCTGTCCTGACAATGAAAAAAAATTAGGCCATCTTCATTTATTTCTTTACTTTAAAACTTTACTTCTAATTAAAAGCAATGACCGATGCAAATTCATTTACAATGCCATATCAGCATAAATGAGTAGAATATTTTTTTCAGGACTTTTCTATTTTCATTTTTATGTAAGTTTTGGACACCCATTTGGCCCATCCATGCCCTCTGCCAAGATTTTGATGAATACGAATCTTCATTGTATAAGGAAGTTACATTTTTTTTTTTTCATTTCTGGTTCAGTGGTTCTTGGGGAAAAGATCTGAAAAAATCCAATCTTATTTCCACCTGTTTATGCCCTTCAGTTGCTTCAGTTTGCATATCCATTACCTAAAGTTATTTTATGGCAAACTGGGATGAAATTACTTCATCAGTTTGGGAGAAGACAATGAGACAATGGGTGATGCATGGCAACAGACAAGAAAGGATAGCATTAAGTCAGGAAAATTCAATGAAAAAGCAAAAATATCTATTTTTATTCATAAATAACTCCTACACACAATTCCTATAAACTTACAAAAGCCTGTCCTTGGATTCCTGTTATAACCAGTCTATTTTCAATTTTACTACATTTCTGATTCTGAATTCTCTTACTTTTTTTGATTTATTTCCTACAAAAAAATTTCTAATTTTGGAAAATAAATGGAAACTCAACGTTTAGGAAAAAAAATCCTTTGCCACTTCTATCAATTCTGCAGATCAACTTGGGCTACTTCTACATCAAAATTGAAAAGACTGAATTGTTCCCATTCAACACCCACTTTTTAAATCTCAGATTCTGGGTTGACAATTCCCATTTTTCCACCCACCTTTTTGCGTCTTTGTCGGCAATGATTTGGCCGAGTTTTCGGGCAGTTTCTTCAGCTGCCTGTTTGTCAGCTTCAGCTTGTTTTAATCTTCACACACAAACAAAAGCAGGAGACACAGACATGCAAAATAAAAACAAAAAATCAAAATAATTTTACACAATAAAATTGAAGCTAATAACTCATTTAAAGCCAAGGAACCAGAACTGTATTGTAATAAGTAGATGTACATCATATTCATTGCTAATAAGTGTACAAATTAATTATTTTAACCCTTTTCCCCTTGGAAATCCTGTTTAGAGATATAAAAAGTTCTGCTGACTTTAAGGATTTTAATTATATTCATTCACAATTCTGTGTTTCATAATTATTATATTAAAGACACTTCATGATTTCATTTACCCTGGTTCCTAAGCTAAGCATTTTCTAGTAAACTAAAAACTGTACATGTGTGTATATATTTTATACATCTGGAATGCAATAAGGGATCTCTTCCTTGCAATGTGAAAAAAAAAATGAGAAAAAAAAAATTTACTGTAGATCACTAAATTTTCATGAAACCTTATTTTAGACAGTGATCTGGTATTTATAAGCAAGACAAAGTTTTCATGAACTTTGGATACTTTTGTATATAATCTTTAATAATAAAAATATATGCACGAATAAAAATTTCACAAGCAGACTGTCTCAGATAATTACACAAAAAATTAAGTATTCCCAAATAAAATGTGATTTACAATAATATAATTGAAAAAAAAAGTACTCTATCATTTTGGTATGTTACATTCTTATAAAATCTTATCACTGGGCTTTAATGCATATGATACATGTATATGTATGATTTTTATGACTTCACAACAATAAACCAATGTGAATACAGAGAATACATTTTCAAATACAGAGTTGAAAATGTGCTAAATTAACAAACAATGCCATTGGCTAGTATATATTTGGTAGCATGAGACAACAAGAGGCCCATGGGCCACATCGCTCACCTGAGTAACTTTGGCCATGCTGTTCATTACCAGACTTCCCCCTTGTAATACCTCGTGTGGCCCCGCCCTACCCTCGGGGGTCATGATTTGAACAATTTAGAATCTACATTACCCCAGGATGCTTCCACATAAGTTTCAGTTTTTCTGGTCCAGTGGTTCTTGAGAAGATTTTTTAAAGATTTTTCCTATATATTTCAATGTAAAACTTGGGATTTCCTATTGTGGCCCCGCCCTATCCCCGGGGTCATGATTTGAACAATTTAGAGTGTACACTACTTGAGGATGCTTCCACATAAGTTTCAGCTTTTCTGGCCCAGTGGTTCTTGAGAAGAAGATTTTTAAAGATTTTTCCTATATATTTCGATCTAAAACTTGTATTTCCTATTGTGGCCCCGCCCTACCCCGGGGGTCATGATTTGAACAATTTAGAATCTACACTACCCCAGGATGCTTCCACATAAGTTTCAGCTTTTCTGGCTCAGTGGTTCTTGAGAAGAAGATTTTTAAAGATTTTTCCTATATATTTCAATGTAAAATTTGTATTTCCTAGTGTGGCCCCACCCTATCCCCGGGGTCATGATTTGAACAATTTAGAGTGTACACTACTTGAGGATGCTTCCACATAAGTTTCAGCCTTTCTGGCCCAGTGGTTCTTGAGAAGAAGATTTTTAAAGATTTTTCCTATATATTTCAATCTAAAACTTGTATTTCCTAATGTGGCCCCGCCCTACCCCGGGGGCCATGATTTGAACAATTTAGAATCTACACTACCCCAGGATGCTTCCACATAAGTTTCAGCTTTTCTGGCTCAGTGGTTCTTGAGAAGAAGATTTTTAAAAGATTTTTCCTATATATTTCAATGTAAAACTTGTATTTCCTATTGTGGCCCCGCCCTACCCCGGGGGTCATGATTTGAACAATTTAGAATCTACACTACCCCAGGATGCTTCCACCTAAGTTTCAGCTTTTCTGGCCCAGTGGTTCTTGAGAAGAAGATTTTTAAAGATTTTTCCTATATATTTCAATCTAAAACTTGTATTTCCTAGTGTGGCCCCGCCCTACCCCCGGGGGTCATGATTTGAACAATTTAGAATCTACACTACCCCAGGATGCTTCCACATAAGTTTCAGCTTTTCTGGCCCAGTGGTTCTTGAGAAGAAGATTTTTAAAGATTTTTCCTATATATTTCAATGTAAAATTTGTATTTCCTTATGTGGCCCTGCCCTACCCCCAGGGGCCATGATTTGAACAATTTAGAATCTACACTACCCCAGGATGCTTCCACATAAGTTTCAGCTTTTCTAGCCCAGTGGTTCTTGAGAAGAAGATTTTTAAAGATTTTTCCTATATATTTCAATGTAAAACTTGGATTCCCTATTGTGGCCCCGCCCTACCCCCGGGGGCCATGATTTGAACAATTTAGAATCTGCATTACCCCAGGATGCTTCCACATAAGTTTCAGCTTTTCTGGCCCAGTGGTTCTTGAGAAGAAGATTTTTAAAGATTTTTCCTATATATTTCAATGTAAAACTTGTATTTCCTATTGTGGCCCCGCCCTACCCCCGGGGGCCATGATTTGAACAATTTAGAATCTACACTACCCCAGGATGCTTCCACCTAAGTTTCAGCTTTTCTGTCCCTGTGGTTCTTGAGAAGAAGATTTTTAAAGATTTTTCCTATATATTTCAATGTAAAACTTGTATTTCCTATTGTGGCCCCGCCCTACCCCCGGGGGCCATGATTTGAACAATTTAGAATCTGCATTACCCCAGGATGCTTCCACATAAGTTTCAGCTTTTCTGGCCCAGTGGTTCTTGAGAAGAAAAAGATTTTTAAAGATTTTTCCTATATATTTCAATGTAAAATTTGTATTTCCTAGTGTGGCCCCGCCCTATCCCCGGGGTCATGATTTGAACAATTTAGAGTGTACACTACTTGAGGATGCTTCCACATAAGTTTCAGCTTTTCTGGCCCAGTGGTTCTTGAGAAGAAGATTTTTAAAGATTTTTCCTATATATTTCGATCTAAAACTTGTATTTCCTATTGTGGCCCCGCCCTACCCCGGGGGCCATGATTTGAACAATTTAGAATCTACACTACCCCAGGATGCTTCCACATAATTTTCAGCTTTTCTAGCCCAGTGGTTCTTGAGAAGAAGATTTTTAAAGATTTTTCCTATATATTTCAATGTAAAACTTGGATTCCCTATTGTGGCCCTGCCCTACCCCCGGGGGTCATGATTTGACCAATTTAGAATCTACACTACCCCAGGATGCTTCCACATAAGTTTCAGCTTTTCTGGCCCAGTGGTTCTTGAGAAGAAGATTTTTAAAGATTTTTCCTATATATTTCAATGTAAAGTTTTTATTTCCTAATGTGGCCCCGCCCTACCCCCGGGGGTCATGATTTGAACAATTTAGAATCTACACTACCCCAGGATGCTTCCACATAAGTTTCAGCTTTTCTGGCTCAGTGGTTCTTGAGAAGAAGATTTTTTAATGACCCCACCCTATTTTTGTCTTTTCTGGATTATCTCCCCTTGTAAGGGGACTTGGCCCTTTATTTTAACAATTTAATCTCCCCTTCACCCAAGGATACTTTGTACTAAGTTTGGTTAAAATTGGCCCAGTGGTTCTTGAGAAGAAGTTGAAAATGTGAAAAGTTTACAGACGGACGGACGGACAACAGACAACGGGTGATCAGAAAAGCTCACTTGAGCTTTCAGCTCAGGTGAGCTAAAAAAAAAAAGGGGTGAAAAATGTGATCATATGTCTATGAAAAAAGTCTTCATTTTCTAGATTTTACATTAAAACAGTAATTTAATGCTTTGATTAGATCAACCCCCTTTTTGTCTATCCAGTGAACAAGTATATATTAAATAGAAATGATGCAATAGTGACTGACCTCTTCTCCATGTCCTTGAGTGTGGTCACTAACTGATTAGTCTTCTCTTCTAACTTAGAAACCAATTCACTTTTATGTTTCAAACTACCCTCACAGGTCTGAAATTAAAACAAAAATAATTCTTAATTAATTCTGTCAAAGTTATCAACCTCATGCATTACAGGGAGTGAATAGTTCCTCAAAAAATAAAGCTAATATAATTGCTTTATGTTCTTTTGAAGACCAATAAAACAAGATGAGGAGTACAATTATATATGACAGTCACAAATGTCACCACTTCTATGATTCCCATTTGCCTCCCTGTAACCCACAACTGAAGTCTTTATTAATGACTTATTGCAAATGATAAATTCAATGCCACAATTCTCCACAAATTTTTAACATGAAGTTTGCAAATGATAAATTCAATGCCACAATTACCCACAAACTTTTAACATGAAGTTTGCAAATGATAAATTCAATGCCACAATTACCCACAAACTTTTAACATGAAGTTTGCAAATTATAAATTTAATGCCACAATTACCCAAGAACTTTTAACAAGAAGTTTGCAATTTATAAATTTAATGCCACAATTACCCAAAAACTTTTAACAAGAAGTTTGCAATTTATAAATTTAATGCCACAATTACCCAAAAACTTTTAACAAGAAGTTTGCAATTTATAAATTTAATGCCACAATTCCTCACAAACTTTTAACATGAAGTTTGCAAATTACAAATTTAATGCCACAATACTCTACAAACTTTTAACATGAAATTTGCAAATTACAAATTTAATGCCACAATTCCCCCACAAACGTTTAATTTAGTTTTAAAATTTTTACTGAACTAAAAGATCTACATCTTTCACAACCTGTCCATCTACAATAATAAATATGAATCCCTTCACTTTTTAGCTCACCTGAGCTGAAAGCTTAAGTGAACTTTTCTGATCACCCGTCCTCCGTCCGTCCGTCTGTAAACTTTTCACATTTTCAACTTCTTCTCAAGAACCACTGGGCCAATTTTAACCAAACTTGGTACAAAGTATCCTTGGGTGAAGGGGAGTGTAAATTCTTAAAATAAAGGGCCAAGTTCCCTTACAAGGGGAGATAATCAAGAAAAGACAAAACTAGGGTGGGGTCATTAAAAAATCTTCTCTAGAACCACTGGGCCAGAGAAGCTGAAACTTATGTGGAAGCATCCTGGGATAGTGTAGATTCTAAATTATTCAAATCATGACCCCCGGGGGTAGGGCGGGGCCACAATAAGGGAATCCAAGTTTTACATTGAAATATATAGGAAAAATCTTTAAAAAATCTTCTTCTCAAGAACCACTGGGCCAGAAAAGCTGAAACTCATATGGAAGCTTCCTGGGGTAGTGTAGATTATAAATTGTTCAAATCATGATCCCCGGGGGTAGGGTGGGGCCACAATAGGGAATCCAAGTTTTACATTGAAATATATAAGAAAAGTCTTTACAAATCTTCTTCTCAAGAACCACTGGGCTAGAAAAGCTGAAACTTATATGGAAGCATCCTTGGGTAGTGTAGATTATAAATTATTCAAATCATGACCCCCGGGGGTAGGGCGAGGCCACAATAGGAAATCCAAGTTTTACATTGAAATATATAAGAAATTTTTTTTACAAATCTTCTTCTCAAGAACCACTGGGCCAGAAAAGCTGAAACTTAAGTGGAAGTATCCATTGTTCAAATCATGACCCCCGGGGGTAGGGTGGGACACAATAGGGAATCCAAGTTTTACATTGAAATATATAAGACTAGAAATATGTCCATAGGACATGAATGCCCCGCCGAGGGTATATTAGTAATGCAATATTTTAACACAAATTGAGAAAAGTGAGGTCAAGGTCAAAGGAAAGGTCAATGTGAAAAAATATTGATGCAGTTGAATAGCTTACATCAGTATGTATCAGCATATGAAGTTTGACACTAATTTAAGAAAAGTGAGGTCAAGGTCAAAGGAAAGGTCAAGGTCAAAAATTGTTGATGCAGTTGAAAAGGTTACATCAGTATGTATCAGCATATGAAGTTTGATAAAAATATTATGAATGGTTTCTTTAAAACTGAGCTAAACACTAATTTTAAAAAAAGTGAGGTCAAGGTCAAAGGAAAGGTCAAGGTCAAAAAGTATGAGTTGAATAGCTCTCATCAGTTTGTATCAGTATATGAAGTTTGACACTAATTTAAGAAAAGTGAGGTCAAGGTCAAAGGAAAGGTCAAGGTCAAAAACATGTTGATACAGTTGAATAGTTCTCATCAGTATGTATCAGCATTTGATGTTTGATAACACTATCTTGAAAGGTATCTTTAAAACTGAGCTAAACACTAATTTAAGAAAAGTGGGGTCAAGGTCAAAAGAAAGGTCAAGGTCAAAAAATGTTGATGCAGTTGAATAGCTTACATCAGTATGCATCATCATATGAAGTTTGATTAAACTATCTTGAATGGTATCTTTAAAACTGAGCTAAACACTAATTTAAGAAAAGTGAGGTCAAGGTCAAAGGAAACGTCAAGGTCAAAACATGTTGATGCAGTTGAATAGTTCTCATCAGTATGTATCAGCATATGAAGTTTGATAACACTATCTTGAATGGTATCTTTAAAACTGAGCTAAACACTATTTTAAGAAAAGTGAGGTCAAGGTCAAAGGAAAGGTCAAGGTCAAAAAAGTTGATGCAGTTGCATAGCTCTCATGAATATCTATCAGCATATGAAGTTTGATAAAAATATCTTGGACAGTTTCTTTGAAACTGAGCTTTGAACAGAGCTAAACACAAAGTGTGACGGAAGGACAGACGGAAGGACAGAAGGACGGAAGACGGACATGACAAACACTATATGCCCCGGCCATATTCATGGCAGGGCATAAAAAATCTTTAAAAATCTTCTTCTCAAGAACCACTGGACCAAAAAAGCTAAACTTATTTGGAAGCATCCTGAGGTAGTGTAGATTCTAAATTGTTCAAATCATGACCCCCGGGGGTAGGGCGGGGCCACAATAGGTATATTAAAAGGGGAAAATCTGGTAAAGAACAGCATGGCCAAAGTTACTCAGGTGAGCGATGTGGCCCATGGGCCTCTTGTTTCACCATAACCATTGATAACTACTCAAAATTTAAGTTGATACAGAGACTCTGGGTGAAAATGTGAAATGATAACATTTGACAGAGGCTCCAACAAATGAAAAAATGTTTAATGATTAAAAAAAAAAACAAGTTCTTCCTTTGACTCAGATGAGCTTTATGATTAAATGATGGGGAAGGGGACGGGGGGAGAGATGATCCAAATGTGCTTGAAACTTCAACAGGGAAGAGGAAAGTGAAGATAAGATACTGTTCAGATGGAAATACTGATGAAATTGATGAATGACTAATACTCGTCCAAGTTTCCATTCATCAACTTTCTCAATCTTGTTAGAGCAATGTTGAACACTGATACATTGTTAAAGTTTCCACTTCACCAAATTCTAAAATAAGTTCATCACCAAACGTCCAACCCTTCAATATATCAGTAAGTATGTGATAAAAATGTAGTCAGTTACAAACTCTTGTCAATGACAAATCATCATTTTCTAGCATCTAAACACAAGGACATTATCAATAGCCAATTCTCGAGTATGCATCAAAATTCATTAAAATGCATAAAACAGAGATAATAATCTATAGGCATTTGACAATGACCTGATGATTCAATATTACAGTAATTATATCTCCTACTATTGAAAATGAAAGACCACACAGAAACATTAAAGGTTTTCCTCCTACTATTACGAGGGTTCAAAAGAGGCAATGATTGATTATATTGCCCATGTCCACAAAACAAGATCTGAGAAATAAATGCCACTGGATAATTCCATTCTTCATCTTATGTCAAGCACCTGCTCTCCTCTTATTATGATTTAACAAAGAAGAGTTAATTATCTTTAATTGACATTAATTCCACATCAAAATATTGAAAAAAAAAATTACTCTGCCAGATTGAATGAATGTGCAGAATAATTTGGAGGTAATATAAAACTGCAAAGCTAGATCTACATAAATGACATTAAAATTATTTTTTTTAAAAATACATTTATCCTCAGAATTAGCCAGAAGTACATTAAAAATGGAGGCTAGTAAAATTGAAATCAGACATGCTAATAAAATAATTTAAATCATGAAAGACACAGAAATATTCGGAAAGTACTAAATGATTTCTGCAAGAGTTATCCCCAGGGGCAGATCTAAGGGGTGACACCCCCCCCCCCCTGAAATTTTTAGAAATATCAATTCCTGTATAAAAGTAACAAAAAAATGATTTGGATACCCCTAGGAAACAAGGACCCTTCTTAAAACCGTAAGAGGAGCTATAACTCACCCACCACCTCCCCCACAAAATAGGTTTTTCATGGGTTGGGCAAGTGTGGGGTTCGGGCTTGTCAACAAATTTCCGAGTTTGACAATTTTTAGAGTTGGTGTGTATCCTCCCTCCTCGGAAAAAAGTCCTGGATCTGTTCCTTATCCTTCTTTAGAAATTTGCAGATATTGGAGAATTTACTTCACATTGAATACATGCAAAGTCAATAGTCTAAAGGAGACAATGCACCCCATAAGTTTTTCATGTTTCATTTGATTTCAAGTTTATTAAACAAGAATTTAAATGATCAAAATATTTGTTAAACACTTGATTTCCAGACATGTGCATGGTCAAATAACTACATATACATATACCTCAGAGATTTAATTGTTATATTGCCAATGTTAAATTGATTGGAAATTGCTAATTTAAATTCAATCTTAAATGTTTGGAAACAAAACTGTAATAAGCATTCTAGAAAAATTGGACCAGTGCATGCTACAATGATGCAATAATGGAATGACATCCAAAAAGATATGATTAAAAAACTTACAGAAGATTACTTTTTCTTCTTTCAAAAAAAAAAACATAGGCAAGAAAAGCCCAAGGAAAAAAAACCAAGAGAGATGTGGAGTCATGACTGCTATTCTAAGAAATGTTTGTACAATTTAGTTGCACATAACCTTGACAACTTTTCACAGAATTAGAAGTTAGATCTGTCCGCCCATTACCCCCAGAAATACATCTATTTACTAGATTGATTCCCAATACTGTCCAAGACATGGCAAGTATCCCTGCTTGTACAATTAATCCATTAATCTAAGATGACCTCCAGCCAAACTTATGGATGCAGTTAATTTCCTTCTCTCGTATATTCTTATTGGGGCAGGTGATTTCAGATTTTGGTCACTTTGAGGATTGTCATCTGAGGTTTACTATAAATGTATTTATCCACTGTTGCCACATCCCATTCAACAGAAGGAGAGAAATCTGTGAAAATTACAAGGTAAATACTTAGCAATACCTCTCTGCACATTCTGTTCTGTAATTTTCAACTTTTATATTTTTATAAAAGGGTATGTAAATATGAAAGCTTAATTTCCACATTCTAAAGATTAGTTTTTCTCCTTCTTCTTTCTTTTTATTATCTTTGAAATCAATTTCAATACCTTCTATCTGAAAAGATTGGAAATATCAAGTATACATTGATGTTTTTGAAAGGATGAAGGCTTCACCATGTACACAAGTGATTGTAATGTTTTTGACATTTGGATTTTTGTGTGAGGTCCATGCTCAAAATTACCACTTCAGCAATGGGTGGCAGCCAGGCAAACGGAGTTATAAACCTTGTGCTCTACGACCGGAAATACAGTCCATTTTATACAAAATCATTGAGGTAAATATTACAGTTTGGATTTTTTTGTTTGAGAAAAAATATGTATGTTGTAATTTATGTAAATTTTTAAAATTACTAAAAAGTTAAATTTATTAATAGCCAATCTAATATAATTATTATGCATATTCTTCTGAACTTGACACCTTTTTTTTTTTTTTACACATTTCCGTGTATCTTTTCTTAACGATCAGGAAAATTTAAATACCAAGTAAAATTCTACGTAGATAATATTACTTGTATTCTAATACATATTTAAAATCAATTCAGCTAAAAGTGTTTATTGTGACTTAATCACTGAAAATTTGCATTGAAAGTTGTGCAATACAAAAATGAAATCAAATTTGATATGTTTCCAAAAAATTTTGAATTAAATAATTATTAATATGCAATATAGGAATAACAGAGGTGCATGCATGCTTATCCCATTCTTCAGTTTTCAGTAATGTAAGAGGTTTCTATCTGTTATTTTAGGTTTAAATCAGTAATTTTGTGTTGTCAATACATTAATTGGCTTAATTTTCTAATGTATACCGGGTATATACTTTTATCATTTTTAGATAAGAACAATTTTAGACTGTTACATTATTATCTGATTTGTCAGCATGTATCATATGTAAACAGCCATCCAAATACATGTATAAATCAATGTCTTCAAGGTCTTTAAGTTAATCCATAATCCATATTTTGAAATTAAAATCTGGAATAAAAATGGAATTTCCATAATAGTAAACAGCTCTGGTATAATACATTATACAATAAAACAAAACTTCAATTGAAATCATTCTTAATAAACTAAGTGTTATTGCTATTTATAGAAATGTATCCACTTAAACTTAAAATTTTAACTTCTATCATGTATTAAACTGTCCTAGATGTAGCAAAAGCTCTATAATAAAGTTAAAGCTAATTATTTGGACAATACTTAATAACTATTTAAAAAGAAATAATTCTTTGAAATTAATTAAATATGGAGACCATTTTGTATAGCAAAATCTAGATTAATTTCTTTGAAATAACCTCAACTGTTAAGACATTTAGATCTTTAATGTTGTCAATAAATCTCGGTATTCAGTATCAAACTGGTATGATCATCACTGAAATACAGAGAACAAAAACTTCAAGCACCCTGCCAAAAAAAAAAATCAAATTGCGGCAAGATTGAATTAAAATTTGACCTGTATCTTTTACAGGATGAGGTGGAGAGAATACAAAAATGCACAAACTCAAACTTTGATGATGTTTTCTCAATGATGCAGGTAAGATTTGTATCCATATTTAATTCAGATATGTATTTAATACTCAGCCTCAAAAACAGCTATGCATCAAAATGCTAATTTTCATTTTAAATATTGATTACAATTTAGTAACATTGTCAAATATAATAACAATACCTAACTTTTCCTGTAACAAAATAAAGCTAAAAATTTAAATACATTGCTGAAAGTACATGTATGTTTAATTGAAACATGTTATAGAGAGAGTTTTGATTAATTTTTATTAATTACTTTATACCTATATTTTTTATGTTGAGCTCCAGACACATTTTAGCCATTTTGCAATTTTTTGGCAGAGACAAATTCGGTCTTTAATATTGATCATGGATATCTCAATCCTAATTTTAATGACAGAAACTAACTATTTGAACAACAATGTATTAAATCAGGATCACACATGAACTACTCATTGATCTAAATTATAATTCAAATTAAAAACAAAATTACTTCTGTATGCTTGTCTTTATCTTCAAATTTTGTCTCCTATAAAAAACAAATAGCAAAACAAAGAGACTTATAAATGTGACCATGTACAAATATTTGAAGGACCAAGAAAAAACTGTGAGATATCCGATGATTTGAGATATCAAGGTTAAATTACATAAAGAAAAAGAGGTTGGGACTTTTAACTTACTTCAACATATTCATGGTATTTGAGATATCGAAAGTTCGAGATAACGAAGTTCAACTGTATACTTGTGTAACCAAGTTTAGCATCTAGTAAACTCTAATAAACTAAGCAGCTACAAATAATTCCCAAATATATTCATGCAATGACATCTAAGTTCTAATTTTCTTTTCAGGATAAAAATAGCGTGGAAGCCAGAGAAGTTTAAGCAGCAGACAAGACAAGCTTGGGGTGGACAACTACATGTAATAGGCAATATGTGTTCAATATCAATGGACAAAATAACAAAATAAATTGTGACAATTTACATTAATGTTGGCTTTTATTTTAATTCACATGAATGTATGAAAATTGGGGTTGTGTAAAGGAGCACAGTGTTACAAGGTATCATGGAACCATTTCATTGTCAATGGAATTCTGTATGCATCCAAGACAAGTTTGGTTTTTGGTGGCAACCATTACAAAGTTAATCAAATTAAGACACACCTAAAAGTCTTAATTCACTAACATGGATTGACTTTGGGCACAGTGATTAGACAATGAGGCAAATATAGGATTTATTGACAAGAATAAAAAGAATGGCTGACACATATTATTATAACCACAGTTTCAGTTACAACAAGATTTCAAGATCTGCAAAATTATTACAGATACAGATTAAAATCATTATTGATACAGATTAAAGGCAGTTTTTTTTACTACAAAAATGATTTCCTATATTTCATAATTTTTTGTGTGCATGCATGTGTTTTAAAAAAAAATTGGGTATAAAAAAAATTACATACTTTGCAAAATATTCTTGAATTATTTTAAAACAATTAATTTGAAAACAAAGTTTTAAATAATTATGATAAATTTCCCGAGCTTTCAGCAGAAGAGGAATAAACTTAAAGAATTTATTTGTCAATGTGTTGCAGACCAAATAATGTAAAATTTAAATTTAGAATTAAAAGTTTCCTCATTCTCCAAAGATGATAATTTGATTTCTTAAATTCTTCAAAATGATAGAATCTTGTATGTAATTTGCTGTTTGCTTTGACAAATGGTCACCTGTTCTATATCAAATGAAATAGCTTGTTTTATTTACCCTCTTCCAAGCCAGTAAATACTGGTGTATATATAGAGAGAGAGAGAGAATCTTGTTATTTCAACCTATATGGGACCAAGAAACACTTCAAAATATCTGGATTTGAGATACATGTAATGAGGTTAAAATACATAGCGAAAAGTGGTTTTGACCTCAAACCCCCTTTGCGCATCCATGGTATTCGAGACATCCATGTTAGAGATTCCAAAGTTCAACTGCACCTCTACAAAATTACTGAATTTCTCTAACTGACTTTCAAATAATACCAATGTCAATGGAGACAAGTTTTTTTGACATAAAAACCATAAAAATGAAGACAATTTATGAGGCATTGAGCAGGTGTGCAGAAATATACACTGTTACCTGTAATTTCTTGTACATTTCCAGGTTGATTCCTTTGATGTCCTCCAGCTGTTGTCGTAAAGAAATCATGGTGTCCTGTTTTTCATGAATATCTTTCTCTAGAATTCTCAGTGCCATCTCCATTTCTTGTTTCATGCTGATCTGCAATTCTAGTTCCTTCTCAACATCCTATAAAAAAAAATGTTGTCTTTATATTTTTTTTCATTTTTGATACACTCAGTCATTCATCATTACAATTAAAGGATACAAATATCAATTCCCTTACAAATATACATGTACATATATTATGTTCAAATAAAATATTATCAAAAGTATACATCAGTTTTTCTGAAAAATATTTCAAAGCTTGTGCACGGTAACAGATGACTTACGAGCCTGACGTGTGTTTCCTCCTCCAGCTGTTTCTTTAGATCAGAGTACATGCTGTCCAGTCCCTCCCTAGATGTCTTATATGTCTCTCGTTCTGTCTCAATATCCTGTTTGGCAGCCTTTATAAAGAGATTAATGCTTATGATTGATTAATAATGCAAGGTAAATTGTATTACAAATATAAATATATCAGGGTATATACATGTACATTTATATACTTTCTGAAACACAAAAGAATTGATTTTTCTGTATGCATTTTCCTGAATTTTAGTGTGTGCCAGGAAATGTTAGTTCAGTTTTCTATTCCATGTTTTTTTTTCTGTTTATATTCAATAACGATACAAAGCATGAGCACAAAAAATCAGGGAATTTATTTTAACCATAAATTCCTTGAACTTTTTAAATATTAAAAAATTACTTTATCATATTTTTTCTTATGGTTTTTTGGGGTTTTTTTTTTCATTTTAAAAATTGATTTACACAATAATATTTCAAACTTAACAGATTTGAAAAAAAAAATTGTGATTTTATATGTCTGTATTTTAAAAAGTGCAAGAAGATGATTTTGTGCCATTGGGAATTAACATTTTGCATTGCTCACTGCCATAAAGCATGATAATATTGTGTTTCGTCCTTTCTGAAAATAGTATCTCTTCCAAGTAATTTTTTAAATTAAAAATCTTGTTTATCTCTGGACAACCAACTTGGAAAAATCACTTGATCTTAAAGCTTTTATGTTTTTGTTCCTCTGAACAAAATATTTTTCCCAACAAATATTGAGTGCAAAACAAAAAATAAACTGTCATTTAAATTTAAACAAAATCTGACCTATATGTACATTTGAGTCAAAAATGCCATGAACCAACATAAACCCATAAATTTTTTTCATCAGCCTTTTAATTAAGTGAATTTCTCTTAAATAATAATTAGGGAAGAAGGATTGTGAGGTTGTGACAGGATTTTTAGAATGTGCATATTACGTTTGATGTGGACTTGTTTTATGTAATACATAATATGAATTTTATTAATTCTAAATTACCTCTTCATGTTTTATGACTGCCTGAATATTGAATGTTAGAATGAGAGTATGGCACAGTTTTTAAATTTTTTTTTTTTAGAAAAAAAAAAATATCAGAAAGTTTTGCAGTAGCAACTACAAGAGAATGTAGAACACAATTAGCATTTACTTTTTATGCTTAATAAAATATATCTGTAAATATCCCCACCTCAAGTTGCCGCTTTGTGTCATCAACTATAGAACCCTGGTCAGCTTTTAGAGTGTCATTTTCTGCTTGTAATTCTAACACTGAGTTTTTAGCAATGGCAAGATCTTCTTTTAAAAGTGTGTTGGTAGTTTGAACACTCTCTAGCTTTTGTTGGAGATTTGTGACTGTTGCACTGAAAAAAAAGAAGACAGATATTTAATTGAATGAAAATCCCTTACATGTATTTAGTTGTGTATGCATGAAAGTCAACAAAACAAAGGAATTGGAAAAAAATTCTCATTTTAATAATTTTTTTATAGATATAAAAGTGGAACTTTGTTTACTTTTAAGGGAGATAAATCATTGTAATATCTTAAATTTTACAGAGGGAAAATGATTACATTGCACTATTAACCAATCCTGTTCTTAAACAACCTAAATATACCTCCATAGTCTTGGGAGGGAAAATTCTAAAGGTTATACACCTATAAACTGTACAATCTTTGACATTATCCTTACTTCAGGTGTCTGTTGAGCTCCTCTAGATAATTTTTCTGATCTAGTATGGTAGCCATTTTGTTCTTTGTTTCTGGACTGTAAATTAAAATTGTCACAGGTCATCAAATTTAAGAAACATGGTTTAAGAATATCAGAAAGTTCTGTTTAACCAGTGGGTAGAAGAAAAAACAAATTTTAATTTGATAAACTTCTTTGATTCTCCATGATGTTCCATATTAAAAAAAAAAGAAGCAATACCATGAAGAGAATGTTTACCTTTCATTTTCTGGTGACAGGTCATCATTAATTCTGTTGTTTAAGTACAAACTGAAATCTATGACTCCCATCTGAAATTGATAAAAGAATATAAATTCATTAGAATTTGAATGCTTTTGAGTAAAACAATAAAAGGTCCATGGGGCATGGACCATAATAAATCAGATGTGAAACTCTACGTGCTCTTTCTAGAAAAAGAGCATTACATAAATGAAACATTATGGCAAGACCCATTCTGAGACAAAGCCTTGTTTACAATAATTTTAATGTAAATTATATACATGTAGATTCCTGCTTGTCAAACTAATTCTAAGTAATTACAGGTTTACAGGGTTTTTTTGCAGATTGGATGTACATATAATTATATCAAATACTACAATAATAAACTGAAATAAGACACTTTCTTCTTAAAGAATTGTGAAGGCATATTTTGCCTTTTGGTTGAAGTGGGCTTTTGTCTTTTTTTCTAAACTGGTAAGGGAGTCTGAAAATAAGAGGTATTCCAATACCCACCTCTACCCCTTTCAGAAAAATTTTACTAAAATAGCCTTCAGCTTTTCAGATTGTAAAGCATAAATTGTAAAAACCTTAATCCTTGAACAAAAAGAACTTATCCAAATGATAATTTTTGTACATAACTACATGCATGGACATACAGGTTGGTCTAAATCCTCTTCTTTTATACACATATTACAGTCGATGACATTAAGTCCCACAAGTAGACCCGTAAAGACCATTCCTTCATCCTCCAACATCATGGCCCCCGGCTCGTAAAATTCACTGGAAATAAACAAAAAAATAATACATTGACACATTTAATTAGTATATAAGATGTAAAAAAACTGCTTGTAACATCTCAGTTGAAAAAAGGGGTACACTTAGGTGCATTTGACATGCTTATTCAAAGGTATTGAAAGAAAGATTAGGGCTTATATAAACATGTGTAATATGGTTTGAGTCGTGGATATCTGCCTTGATAGCTTAGTTGGTAGAGCTAGAGATGCTTGTGATGCAGGGGTCCCATGTTCGATTCCTAGTCCAGCCATACATTTTCTCCTTTCCTCTTACATGATTTTGTGCAGTTGACCACCCCTGGACTAGAAGGTGAAAGTCCTGCCAGGGGCAATAAGAACTTGGGTTGTGTCTCAGAGGGCAAAGACAATTTAAAATTATGTAACAGGAAAGAAGGAAATGTATGACTGTACCAAGAATAGCACCTGGGACCCCTGCATAACTAGTCAGGTGCTCTACTGACTGACCTAACCCGGCTGATATCCATGGCCCAAACCATCACACATTTCATGTACCGGGTATTCATGTATTTCCAGAACATACCTAAGTACTTGGTCTTTTTTCTCACACAGTACTTTAAGGTAGTCAGCTAGACTCTTCTGCATAAGTGACAGCCTTAACCATGCTCTGGCTTTGCCTAATGGTGTCCTGCAGTGTAAAACAGGATGTCAATTCTTAAAATACATTAGAGTCCATAGTATACAAGCATTGGAAAGTTTACACATCATTACATCAGGAAATGTAATAATTTCACAATGAACTAATATTTTTGCCACATATCATCACTGCATATTAAAAAAAAAGAAAAAATCATATCTGGCATCTATTTGTCTGCAGTAACTAGCTATTAATACATGTATTTACATCAAAATTCTTTGGGGTTTTTTTAACTAAAAAAGGTAATGAATCTATCTGATAAATAATGACAAATTGTCGTTAAATAACTCCAAGACTGGGCATAGCATAATCACAATTCTTTCTAAACAATTTACTACAAATTATTTCTAGTCATATGCCCTTACTTGAGGTTTGGCATTTCTCTGACACTGGTGGTTATTTCGGAAGCTTCTGGAACCAGTTTCTCCACCGTCTCTAGAACGCACCAGAAATCTCGTCGATCTCGTAGTAAACTTTTCTTGGCTATTTTTGATAAAAATGCATTTCTATTAGTATTACTTCATTGAGGCAATACATAAGTCATTGAAGACAGCTGTTATAATAGAGTAATACCTGAAAAAAAGTCTTATTCCTTCATAAATTAACAAAATTAATTAACACTTAACTTACGCTTAAGTCCATGGCGCAGAACATGTTCTAGAACAATAAAGAACTGCTGAAGTGGAACATGGTTGTCATCCAGCATACGGCCATGAGACAAGCTGGAGTCGATCACCTCCTTTATGATAAGTTTGGATACATTTAACAAGTTACATCGCTCAATTGTACGGGGATCTCTTCCTATATAAAACAGAACAATATTCCACATTATTCTGTTCTAGAAACTTAAAATGTATACAATATATGTATATGAAAACATTCTGATCTTTACGATGGCTGATATGAGCCGTCAAATTACAAGTAAGAGTAACTCTATTATGCACGCAGAATTAATTGACTTCAACAGTAATACCTGTATTATTTTGTACATGTACATCTTTGTCAATGACAAAACGCTTGTACTTGTAATATAAATTTGTACATGTACAAATCTTGAGACAAAATACATTTGAAACTACTTAACATTCCTCAGATTTATTGGGGAGATTATCTGTAAACTTAGAAAGGGTTTAAAACAAAAACACCTGATTTTTTTTTTTGGGGGGGGGGGGGGGGGGTGTTTAATAAATGCTTATTTTCAATGATATTAAAAAGAGCAAGACTGTTTTTACTTTTACATAGTTACTGTATTACATCGTCTGAGATCACGACTTTCGGATTTTTCCACCAAAGAATATTTTGTAAGTGTCTTTATTCAGATTCTTAGTGTTTTTGTTTGATTTTAACTTCTTTCACGACAAGGCAATGCAGAAATTCATTCTTAGGCCCCAAATACTAGTTAAAGATTCCAGAGACAATGAAGCTGCATCTTTAAATAAGAAGTTTATTAATTTTCTCATTCTATTCTTTTCCTTGTTCCAATGAAAAAAAATGAAGGAGGAAAAAATTTTAATGGAACAAGGGAACGAGTAGAATGAAAAATAAACTTCTTACTTACGCAGATCATCAAGCGACAGTCTTTCATCTGGAGGGAAGGGAAATACTAAAGATGCAGCTTCATTGTCTCTGGAATCTTTAACCAGTATTTTGGGGCCTATAAATGAATTTTAATATTACGTTGTTGAAAACGAAATTAAAATCAAACCAAAACGTGTGGAATCTGAACAAAGACACTTACAAAATATTCTTTGATGGAAAAAGTTTAATATTTAGGTCTCAGACGACGTATGTGAAAGTAAAAATTATTAAAAATTAGGCATACAGCATTTATTTAACAACATCAAAAGGGGGGGGGGAAGAAAAGAGAAGAAAACCAGACAGGCAGACACACGTTTTTGTTTTAAACCCTTTCAAAGTTTACAGATTATCTCCCCAATAAATCTGAGGAATGTTAAGTAGTTTCAAATGTATTTTGTCTCAAGATTCGTACATGTACAAATTTATATTACAAGTACAAGCGTTTTGTCATTGACAAAGATGTAAATGTACAAAATAATACAGTATTACTGTTAAAGTCAATTAATTCTGCGTACATATTAGAGTTACTCTTACTTGTAATTTGACAGCTCATATCGGCCATCGTAGATCTTAGATAGACATTTTGATCTTAGATAAGGACTATAGCATCTATACCGTTCGTACAGTATAGTAAATGTACATACAGTTCATTTGGTCCAGAACACCACCTCCCCTTGAAATATCTTACATATTGTATTCAGTATATATATAGGAAGTAAGAATATTGGTTCAAATCCTCAGCTACAAACTAGCTCCTCCAAGTTAAGGCAAGTAATAACATTTTATTAAGACCCTTCTAGTCATATGTGGATACATGTACTACCAAAAAATAGGGTAAATTAAAGAATATAAGTGGAAATGCAAATTTTAAGGGATTAAATATTAACAAAATTTAGGGACAAATTTTAATACAAAATGTTCAAAAATTGAAAATTAAAGTACTTATAACATGTACCTATAGGCAAAGAAAATAATTTGTAGCCTTTTCTTGGACATAAGATGTTTCAATTACTATTTACAGGAATACACATAACACTGACCAACATTCTTCCATTGGTAGTAGGTATGAAAGCAAACAAAAGTTAAATCTGCAAAAGTCAGACTTGCTTCCTTAGGTTTTTAACTTATTTACCAAATCAGTGCTTATCAACTACTTAGTATGGAATGACTCACTCAAAGAATATTGAACACCAGACTCTGATGGAATGTCAGCAATGAAAACAAGCAAGATTCAGTAGTAAAGTATAGCAAGAAAAATCAATGCAGTCTAAACACACACACTCTTCATTACTCTGCATTAGTGAGCATTTAGAATTTCCTAATGTACTTGTAATTAGATACATCACATTCCTATCACACATTTTCCCCAGCAAAAAAAAATAACTCCAGAAACTCTTTATTCATGCATGTCTGTCCATCTATTCAAGCCAGAGAATGCATGAATGATTGTATGTAAAACCCCTCCACTGCAATTAATGAATTCCAGAGCTTCAAGCTCCCTGATCCTGCACTCTCTTACCATCCTCAGGTGTGGGAAGATCTAATTCATCTACCTCCAACTGCACATCACTGAGTTCTTTTAAACATAACCAGTCACCATCAACCGAAACTCGAAAGTTACACAGATAAATGGTTTCCTCTGCCATCTTGAATTGTTGATCATGCTCACAAATCAATAGTTTGATGCCAATGGGGAAATTAACATAAAAGATCAGTCTAGCAACTTGTTGCAATGAACCAATATTTTCTTCATTTAATTATCTACAGGTTAACATATCTTTTTACATAATTTCAAGTATTTTATTATTTTGTGGGGTTTTTTTTTTGGATTGAAATTTTATAAGTTTGTATATTTTAACTGCATTCAATATAATCATTTGACTTTGATATATTCTAATTAAGAGATTTTAGAAGTCACGTTTGTATAAAAACATGAAACCATGCAAATTAATTGTGAAATATAATTAAGATACAAATATTCTCACAAAATAAACATTTTTTAAATCCTTTTCCCTTGAACACTCTGATCACCCTAAAGGTGATAATGAATCAATATTTTCTTGATTTAATTATTTATGGGTAATCTGTCTATTTATTTTTAAAGTATCTTATAATTTTGTGTTGTTTAATTTGATTTTTTATGTGTATATTTTAACTGCATTCAAAATCATTTGACTTTGATATATATTTTAAGGAATTTTAAAAGTTAATGAAAATAATCAAGATTAAAAATATATTCTCATCCCAAAAAATCGTTTAACCTTTTCCCTTCTGATATATATTTTAAGAAATTTTAAAAGTTAATGAAAAATAATCAAGATTAAAAATATTCTCCCCCCCCCCCCCCAAAAAAAATTGTTAACACACCCTTGAACACTGTGATAGTGAGTCAGAGCAATGATGAAAAAACACTTTTAATCAGAACAATCAATTAAATTTCATTTGGGGCACTACATTGAAAACAAAGCATGAGAACTACCAGATTAAATGGACCTGGACACTAAGCTGTTGCAAGGCCATTTTGTTGACAATTTTAGATTTCTATTTTTATTCAAAAACTTCAATTTAATTAATGAATTGAACTTATATATAAATGAATATTCTTAGAATTTAATGACAACGTTCTTCATAACATGGTTTCAAACGTCTGTGTTTAAACAGGGCACAAGCTCTGTTATTGTTAATGCTTACTGGTGTGTTCAATTTTTTTTCTATGCTGAGGGAAAAAAATAACTGATTTACTGTTTACAATCAAATTAAGTACCTTCATTTCACACTTGTAAGAGACAGACAGCACATTTTATGAGACAGACAGCACATATATGCAGGATACATGTATTAAGTGATACATTTCAAATTCATGCAGTTTATCCTTCTAAATGTCTCTGGCCATCTTAAATACAGATATTGGTAAACATGCAAACTTTAAAAAGGACCTGTTGAAAATGCCATCTTTAAAATTCAGTGTTTTTTCCTTCAAAAATCTTTCCTTCCCTATTGCCTCTTATTTTTTCATGTATTATGAAATCTAATTGTTGTATGATATCATGCCTGCTTGATGATCACATGATTTTTATTTAAAAACACTTGTAATGAATAACTATATATATACATATACTAGTGAGGGGAAGTTCCTGATTCGTTTTTTATTGTAACAAAGGATCTCTTAATTGGTCATACTTTTCAAAGTCACAATTCTAAATTATGAAGTGTTTATAAACATATATTGTATACAGGGAAATTTTTGCCCCCATTTTATTTTTGCCTCTTTCACCCTACTCACAGGTGGGCGAATTTAACAGGGGGCGAATTCAAAGAACTTTATATAATTTCTTAAACAGAACTGTGAATGGGCAAATTTAAGACAGGGCAAAATTTTCAAGCTGTAAAGGGGCGAAAATAACCCTGTATACAGTATGTTTGGAAAATACCCACCCTTACCAAGTTGAATTGAAGGTCAAATGTTACATTTTTTGTATCATATACATGTATTCAGCAGAATAATTCTGCTAGACATAATTGACTTTCAAGTTACACTATTAAATATAATGAAAAATGTTTCATTTATTGCAAAGACATTATCCCCACCTTTTAATCTGATTAAAATCAGATCTCTGTTACGCTCCGAAATTCTGATGGTCGCTTTGTACAGTGACCATCAGAATTTCGGAGCATAACAAAGATCTGATTTTAATCAGATTCCCCCATCTTTCTGAAAAAGAAACTCAGCTGAGTACCATAAACATTATAACGGGGAATTCTTTAGTTTGAAGTTTATCTATCTGCCACTATTCATTTTCTCAACTTAGGTTACAATACATTCAACTTGAATATACATGTATATTTCAATAAATGTTTTTCTGGCTAAAAATACTAGCAAGTAAAAGAAAGTGTGGCACTCAAGAATTAGAAGAATATTTCTTAAACATGAGTCAAAGATGGTTTAAAGTATAATGTTCAATTTAGCATTTTTTGTGGCTCATAAAAATTGACGCTGAATAAAGCAGCAGGGGAAAAGTAGTCCAGATCATATCAGACTTGTGGTGGTATGTAAGCAAGTCCTTGTGCAGCAATGCTCACATGATTAAAGCAATGTTTACTCACAGGTATTATAGACTGACCAGTGACTGACTTATATTTCTGTGTTTGCTTTTATTGAAAAATTTCTAAAGTATTTTGTAGAGTTTGTTTCCCCTCCAAGGAAGCCAAATGAAAAAGAGGAAGATAAGGAACTGTTAATTATCAATTGTCATGTGTTGACTGGTAGTCAGTTGCTGGAATACAGGACAACTGTTACAACTGAAGAAATCAGATATCAACAGAAGAAAAATTATAACTTGGTGCAACAGATGCAAGATCAGGCAAGAAGACAGCCAAAGTTTTCATACAGTAGTTGGAAAAGTCCCATTTTAGCCTCCAAAACTGTTGGCCACGGCACTTTTCAGTTTTGGAAATGTGACAGAGGCAATATGAATATATGTATCAGTCTTTCAGAAAAAAAATCAACTGCCATGAATGTAAAATAATTATTTATGCCATGGTATGCAGTGTTTTTCAAAATTGTTTCAGGAAATTAATTTGTCTTACTGTAATATTTAACATAAAGCAAATGCGTTGAGAATATCTTTAATTGCAGTGATTTAGAGTAAATTCCCATGTGTGAACTTTTTTTGATTTCGTAAACGTTTCAAATACTCCAAATCTTGCAAGATTATCTAGTACAACTTTCTTGAGCTAACAAATAATGTTACCTCATAAAACACTAACGAGACATATTTTATAACTTTTATAACAGTAAAGGTCTTGTTTTTACTGATTAATACTTCCTGAACTCTTGCCTCTTTTTTCCCAACAACATTCACAAGTCTAACACGATGTCAATGGCCCCAATCCTTAAGTTTAACGTATCTCCAAAAAGTTTGTTGACAAAGTCTATTGTGAGCGTCCAATTGACATAAAACCAATAAAACTCTGCTGAAAAAAATGTAGGTATTTTCCATAAAGTATACAAAGATTTGATGTTTTAAGATTATCTTTAAAAATAAACAGCTATATCATTAAGATAAATTATTGCATCAGGGAGCATGTCTAGACCCTATCATCCCAGCCCCTGACCCCTTCCCTCCCCCTCCCCCACCCTTTCACCTGCTGGATGCTGAATCTGCTAATGAATATCCATATACATGTAACTGTGTTTTGCCTTAAATTTTTTGTTTTGTTGTTATTCAAAAAAAGAAATTTCATTTGGCACCATCTACCAGATGCCAAGATTTTAAGAAAAAAAACTATAATAGTATAATAGGGAGATTAACACATACATACATTTGAAGAAAGCATCTATTACTTTTTTTTTGGGGGGGGGGGGGGGTTAAGAGTTTTCTTTAATCAATAATGTAGTATACATATCACAAGAGTACTCAATTTTGTTATCAGTCATACATGTGGACTCATGGTAAATAATGCACATGGAAGTAACAGCCTTTACACATGCAACACAAGAAAGGACATTATGAAATATATAAACTGAATATCCTTCCTCAAAGAGAACACATCTCACGCTTGCATGTATAAGTACCAATTACGTTCTTCCTTTTTTCAGAAAATCTACTTTTGTTGCATTTTCATCTTTGTGTATTTTTTAACAAAGAGACCTAAAATTTTATCAATAAGCTGTAAATAAAATCCTATATAAAAATCCTACCCCATCCTTAGGCCATTCCAAGATTTTTCTATGTTTAGCGTCCGCGTGCGCCTTGGTTTTTGACACCCCATATCAGAAAAAACAAACAAAATCAGGAGTCCTGAAATTGATTATTCTGGTTGAAATCTTTGAATTCTGTCCATCTATCTACATATTTATCTACAATACGTCGTATCAGGTGTATTTTAAGCAATTTATACTTTAATTTTGCAAAAGAATAAATCTTTCTACAGGAAAAAAATCTTAATAAAATTATATCCTTTGATAATGTAATTTGTATGACTTTAAAGTCTGTGTTTTTATTTTTTGGCTTGTGTGTTTTTTGTGAATAGGTAGGTAAGTTTTTGAAAGATGGGCGGACGCTAAACAGAGAAAAAACTTGGAATGGCCTTATATAAAAACAAATGGTGTCCAATATCATTTTGACCCCCTCCCCAATCTGAAAGCGGATATGTATAATGCCAGTACTGGCATTAGACATATCTGCTTTCAGTGTGTAGCATTGAATTCAAATATTATATTTCTAACCTCACATTCCTTCAGAATTTTTTTATTCCACCCCATAGATAATGTACAATAAAAATTTTTTTTTGTTTTTAGATATGATAGGGTACAACCCTTATTTCCAACTTACTGATAAATGCTCTGGTGTGATACAATTTGAAGTAACATTGCCGTGAATCAGTCATGAGCTAGTTTATTTCAGTTTCTTACATTTCTTACAGTACTTCTTTTCATTCACATATGTAATGCGATTGCACTTGTGCATAGAGTAAATTCGGGATGGACTTGTTAAACTTCAGGATTCACGGAAATTGCATTCAAAGATGCACTTACTTTGGTAGCGCAGAGATCGTGCAGAGCTGTTAATATCAGTTTTACTTTGCAATCCTACCACAGGTTTAGGCCATGAGCTTTCATTTGCATTCTTGTTTTCGCTATCCGAAGTGTCTTGTGATTGTTTTGATTCATGATCGGC